CATGGTAGACAATCAGGGACAAGAGATATTACAGTCTAGATAACAGAAGATTTGAGGGAACAAGATGGCAGACTTGTATTGAGACAGACAGCTGAACAGATGTTAGTGAGCCAGTGTCGGCTGTTGCCATGAAATTATCTGCACAAGCATTTTGTTATTCATTGTATCAGACCGCAATTGTACGGAAATCAGAAGCAAGGGACACAATCTACAGCAGTTAGTTAGTTTTTTTTTTTTTTTCAATGAAAACAGTTTAAAATACTATATAAACCATGCACGCTGCATGTTTTGCTTCCATTAAAAGATTAGTCCTCATCTGTTTGTAATATCCTTCTTGAAACTTGTCTTTGTGGACCCCATGTATGGTAACTGGACAATCAGCAATATCGTAAACATGTAGCCACACTTTTGTCAGTTAATCAAATGTGCACTGTTCTGGAACCAGTAAACATTCTCCCTGTTGTTCATTGTTCCTGAATCAGATGGCTGTCTGAGAAATTCATGTTTGTCTCTCGGGTTGTTGTGTCAAATGTAAACACTAAAAATGTCCTCCAGACTCTGAGGCTTCTCTCTCAGATGTTTAGGTTGTCTTCTTGTCTGCCCATGTTTGTATTGGCATCATATAGCTGAGTCCTTTTGTTGTGTTGCAGCAGTGTTGCTGTGTTTCTCTCTGTGATCAGATGTTTTTCTCAGCCAACGTGTTGTTCCAGCCCCCTCTTGTGTTTTTTGCGTCTGCTCCTTCTGTGAGGGGGAAACAAGAATCGACCCACTGCCCCTTGCGTCTGCTCCTTCTGTGAGGGGCAAACAAGAATCGAACCACTGCCCCTCGACAAGCATGTAATGAAAAGTGACCAGTTACAGATTTGCTGAAATTGGATGTGTTGAACATTAAGGCACAGATATCACAGCTTAGCTGTAAACTGCTATATGGCATACCAACTACCCTTTGAAGGGTTAACACAGACTCTTGAGCCAGGATCAAAAATTGTTATGTAAATGATCTGATTTAGTTGTGGATGAGCAAGTTTGTTGTTGCTGTAGACTGCTGACATTTCTGTCATACAGATTAGACAGGCAGGCAGTTGTCAGACATTGAGGGTTTGGGCAGTTGGGTGGGTTGTCCAGGCCTGCCGTCTGTGTTGTTTCATGAACTGTGTAACTCTCCTATACTAAGGGACTGTTTTGTTTATGTACTGTTTAACTCTCATTTACTGCGGGCTGTTTTGTTTATGTACTGTTTAACTCTCATTTACTGGGGGCTGTTTTGTTTATGTACTGTTTAACTCTCATTTACTGGGGGCTGTTTTGTTTATTTACTGTTTAACTCTCATTTACTGGGGGCTGTTTTGTTTATGTACTGTTTAACTCTCATATACTGGGGGCTGTTTTGTTTATTTACTGTTTAACTCGCATTTACTGGGGGCTGTTTTGTTTATGTACTGTTTAACTCTCATTTACTGCAGGCTGTTTTGTTTATTTACTGTTTAACTCTCTTTAACTGGAGGCTGATTTGTTTAATTTTCATAGATTGGTTGCTGTTTTGTTTCATGTACTGTTTAACTCTTATAAATTTGAGACTTTTTTGTGCATGTACTGTTTAGTTTTTATAGATTGGAGACTGTTTTGTTTATGTAATGTTTAACTCTCATAGATTGGGGGCTGTTTTTGTTTATGTATGGTTTAACTCTCATAGATTAGGGGCTGTTTAATATACACTGTTACCCTTAGACTGGGGGGCTGTTTTGTTTATTTCATGCACTGGTAGGCTGGGGGCTGTCATGCACTGGTAGGCTGGGGGCTGTCATGCACTGGTAGGCTGGGGGCAGTATTGTGCTCTGTTGAGGCAGGAAGATATGTACATACAGGAATGTTGTGTTTACATTGACAGTGCAGGTCGGTTTGCATGTGCGCATGCGCTAGCGTGCTTCTATTGAGAGTATGTGTATACGGTTGTGAATGTACTGGAAGGCTGGCCTATTTATTTTAGAATGGAAGTGTCAACGATCTGCTGGCATTTTAACATAGCTCTGCCTGTCATCATCATCATCAGGTATAGAACACAAACGGAATTTTTTTACAGTAGAAGCAGTCTCTGCTGCTATGTACGTGACGATGTCACAGACTGAGGGAATGTTTTGTCCTCGTCCGAGGGATGGTTATTCTCATCTTATGTCTTCCAACCTTTGTGATGATGATGGTGATTTATATTTGTGTGTGTTTTTGTTTTTTAAATTGTGTACAGTTATTCAAAATGAGTATGATTGTGGAGATTTGTGGGCATGGCGTTTCCTTTGCTGGGACAAATATGACACCAAACAAGGACTGTGAGGTCAGGGAAACATTGAGCTGGCTGGAGCAGAACAAGAGGAGGATGTTCTTGTGTTGTAGTGATGGTTTCTCTGTGTTGGATCAAGACAGTGGCCAGGTAACGTGAGCAGAGAACTCAGATGTCAAGATGTATGAAGTATGCATGTGTGACCACACAGTCATTATTCACTCACACGTTGTGTGGCTGATCAAATGGTCATTATTTCTAGTCACAGGATATATTTGTGATTTATTCTCTCTGTCTTCAGACACCTCTGAGAGTAGCCCCCACCTGAGAGACAGTTTGACTTTGTCAATGTGAATGGTTCCTTGTCTGAAAATGAACAGCTCCATTGGAGTTTGTGTTTTCCACTGAGAGTTGATGTGAGACGCGTGTTTTTAAATGTACAAATTGTGGGGTTTCATTACAGCTGGGAGCTCATCCGGTGTTTGACTTTTCTTTTAAACATGATCTTTTCTGGTTCCTCTGCAGAAATGTATCTGTATTATCCAGTTATCCACAATTATCCACATCAGCTTTTGTGAGGGAATCAGTTTTAAACATGGGGTCAGCGATCTGCTGTTTGAGTTTGTATGTGTCTGTTTTCTGTCTGCCCATGTGCCAGTGTGTGTTTGTATGAGATGCAGAGAGTGTCAGAGTCTATATATATATATTGAACAACAAAAAATGTGCGGTATATCTGGTTCATGAATAGATGTGTGTGAGTGGGATCTGCTTCACAGGGATGTACAAGACGGACACATTGTGACTGCTGGCACAACGAGGTAACATTAAATCCTTGAATGTGTTCTTTTTACCTGTACAAAAAGTTATCCTGTAATTTTGCCACATTAGTATGATGTGAACATTGTGTTTCTGACTGCAACATTTCATATTTTCATAAGTACAAGCTGATATAAATATTGCAGGAAATATGGTGCCTTTGTTGGTTGGTCATGTCTGTTTCACACTAACCTGGACTGGATGTGTTTGTGTGACTTTGCTGCTTTCCTCTCACCATTTGTTGAGAAATGAGCTCCTGCCTGTCTTTAATTGGCAGGTTCTCGCAACCATAAGTAGGAATAAGTGTACAAGACAATCAGGCATGACTGCAGTCAAGTTAATACAAAGTCTGGCTAAACTGAGATGAAAGCACGGTGACAGGAAATATACAGCAGGCATTGTAACCAAAGTCTGATCTGCCTCCACTGCTTGTATTAAACACTTTTAGGTGGAGGGGTCATCGTCTGCTGCATGGCTAGTGCAGTTGCCACAAACTGTGCAGGTTAGGATTTCTATTGTTGCTCCCGACATGAAAAGTCTCTGTCCTTTACTAAGGTCCAGGTCTCCCAGAAATGTTATCAACAAACAAATACCAGACTACACAAACAACCGGTCCCATGTAACAGAATTCTACTGTCAGAAATGCAGAGAATCATTTGTATCATTGTCCCCACATTAAGGTTTTAGCTTATGAAGATTTTTTGGGAAACATTGACTTGTCTATGTATATTTCTGTCACTGTTCACTTGTTTGTTGTCTGTGTATATTTCTGTCATGGCTTGTATGTGTGAAGTCATCAGTGTCTGGGTGAACTGACCAAACATATATATGTGACACCAAGTTGTCTATTCTGTTTGTGGGTAGCCGGAATCCTGTCTAGAAACCATTCTCTAGAGAATTCATACCACAAAGATGGTTCTCTCTCTAGAGAATGGAGGTAGGCAAAGGTGTGTTTGTAATGTCTCTAGAGAATGTCCCATGTTGCAAAGCAAATATCTGACAATGATGAGTACTGCCTGTCTGCCTACGCCTGTCACATTAGACCTGTAGGCCTGTCACATTAGACCTGTAGGCCTGTCACATTAGACCTGTAGGCCTGTCACATTAGACCTGTAGGCCTGTCACATTAGACCTGTAGGTCTGTCACATTAGACCTGTAGGCCTGTCACATTAGACCTGTAGGCCTGTCACATTAGACCTGTAGGCCTGTCACATTAGACCTGTAGGCCTGTCACATTAGACCTGTAGGCCTGTCAGGCTCACTCATTCATTCAAACATCTCACTGTCTGGTGTCTTCACACACCTGGATTTATAGTGTGATGTGTGTCTCACTCATTCATTCAAACATCTCACTGTCTGGTCTTCATGCACCTGGATTTATGGTGTGATGTGTATCTCATTCATTCAAACATCTCACTGTCTGGTGTCTTCACACACCTGGATTAATGGTGTGATCTGTGTGTGTGTGGTGGGGGAGGGGGGGGGATATTTGATTGGTTGGCTTTCATACATGACAGAACTTTTGCTGATGATACAGTATGCTCGTGGATTGTACATATTGATTGGTTGTTCTCATGGATTGTTCGGCTGTTCTCATGGATTGATTGGCTGTTGTGAGGGCAGGTTTCTTCATGTAATCTCTATGTGTATACTGTAGGTGCGTGTCTCAGTTGTGTGTGTGAATGTTTGTCTCTGCGCTGTATATATCTATTTCATTGGTATGTGTGTGTTGTGTAGGCCAAGCTGTATGTGTGTAGTGTGGGTGGTTGAGCAGTTGAACATAAAGTGTGAAGTGTATGTGGTTTGACACTGAGACCCACAAATCATTGAAAATATTCCTGAATGTGTGACCTTGTTTTTCCTTCTTCTACTTGCTTGAAATAAAATGGAATGAACACTTAACTGTAGACTTGCATTTGTTCTGGTCTAACACAGTTACTCATCTCTGAGATAGATCCTACGGTTTCCTGCGCACGCGCGCACGCACGCACGCACACACACACACACACACACACACTTACTTTTCTCTATCATAGATACTACGGTTCCCTGCGCGCGTGCCCCACTTTAGTGGTATGTTACGAGTCTTTAGTTTTCGTTTTTGTCGACCGCTGAAGAGGGGTTATCCACTATCCCAGTCCGTACAGCGTTGACGATGTGTGTGTGTGTGTGTGTGCACGTGTGTGCGTGCGTGTGATCTGAACATGGTGCCAGCTACAGGACTGTCAGAAACCTCCTGAAGGTCATAACCCCTGACCCCTACACAAACAAAACCTGTGAAAAGACTCAGTGAGCTTGCTTAAAAGATCCAAACTGGCAAACGGTGACTAGAATGTGTTGACAGAATCCACAAGTTGCACCTGCAGAAATGAGCTTGGCTGGACATGTGGGTGACAGGAAATGAAAGAGCAACAGATTGGCAGTGGATGGACAGAGCAGACGTACTGAATGTGCTGCATTCTAGAACAAAACAGTCAGAGACAATCCACTGCCTCTTGGATTTGGGTATTACGTGAGGACAAGCTTGTAGAAACTGTTCTGGGGCAAGGAAAGATGATCTGCCAGTCAACTCCTACTGGGTACAGTGAGCATGGAGACACTAAGATGGCTGCTGCATCAGAGGACGGACCGATGGGCTAGGATGTCGATACGGATTGCAACAAATAAGTAAAACAAGACTTGTGAGGACAGAAGATATAGTCCATCAGCTGTGTAGTCAGGAAAAAGGTGCATCCCATGCTGGTCACTAAAGAAAGTTTCCACACACAGCAAGTTTCCACATACAGCAAGTGTTTTTGGGGTGGCTGGAGTTAGTCTGGCTTCCATAGCTCAGGGGATGTGACTCTCCCCACTAGGTATAGACCAGGGGATGTGACTCTCCCCACTAGGTATAGACCAGGGGATGTAACTCTCCCCACTAGGTATAGACCAGGAGATGTGACTCTCCCCACTAGGTATAGACCAGGAGATGTGACTCTCCCCACTAGGTATAGACCAGGAGATGTGACTCTCCCCACTAGGTATAGACCAGGAGATGTGACTCTCCCCACTAGGTATAGACCAGGAGATGTGACTCTCCCCACTAGGTATAGACCAGGAGATGTGACTCTCCCCACTAGGTATAGACCAGGAGATGTGACTCTCCCCACTAGGTATAGACCAGGAGATGTGACTCTCCCCACTAGGTATAGACCAGGAGATGTGACTCTCCCCACTAGGTATAGATAGACCAGGAGATGTGACTCTCCCCACTAGGTATAGACCAAGAGATGTGACTCTCCCCACTAGGTATAGACCAAGAGATGTGACTCTCCCCACTAGGTATAGACCAGGAGATGTGACTCTCCCCACTAGGTATAGACCAGGGGATGTGACTCTCCCCACTAGGTATAGACCAGGAGATGTGACTCTCCCCACTAGGTATAGACTAGGAGATGTGACTCTCCCCACTAGGTATAGACCAGGAGATGTGACTCTCCCCACTAGGTATAGACCAGGGGATGTGACTCTCCCCACTAGGTATACAAGTTATACAGCAAAGAGCTATTCTAAAAAAATAAAAAAGGACAACTGCTGTTGGATCTGTCGACAAGATTTGGCCCTGTGTCCCCACCAACCCGCCTGAACGGGCATGCATGAACACATATACATATGCACATTTAAGGCGTTTATGTCATTGATAATCACATGGACCAGGAGCTTGGCAGTGAGCTAGATCTAAATCAAGCTGAAAATGTCTTTTCTGCTAGCTAGTAAACAGACCAGACAGCATACAGGAAGTCCAATACAGACTAGACATACAACAATTACAATCCAGATCATACTATCCATCCATAACCCTTGTTGAAGAAAATCTCGGACACAACCATGTTTCAGTCACGATAAGTGGGAGTCGCACACACAACCAGTGGGGTCACTCAGAGAAATCACTGCTTTATTACAGGAATTAGAACATGACATCCTGTCATACTGTCAGCATACACTGTCATACTGTCAGCATACACTGTCATACTGTCAGCACACACTGTCATACTGTCAGCATACACTGTCATACTGTCAGCACACACTGTCATACTGTCAGCACACACTGTCAACAGCACCATGGAACCATCCAAATGATCATTCTAGAAGCCTTCTGGACGGTCAGCTCTCGATAACACAATCAAAACCAACACAAGACCTGCAGCTGGGAATCGAACCCGGAACCCCGCATTACAAAGCCCGTTTTTAACACCTAAGCCACAGATGCTGACATTCTAACTGTAGATCCTTCAATTCAATGAAAGCCAGAATGTAAATAAAAGCCATTCATGTACATCAACAATATCAACAGAGGACTACTGACAGTCACGTTTGGCATGACTAAATCTGGCCAAATGGTGCAGCAGAAAAAAAAAATGACAGCACAGTGCCTTGTATCTACTACATGACCACGCACGCACGCATGCAGGCACGCACACGCACACACAAATAGTGCAAGATCATCACTGAGGTGAGGCCTGGAACACTTCAGCCATCATAAGTTATCTACAAACATGATGGTGGGTGAATCAGATATAACATTTGTTGATGCTACTCAAGTTTGTCACCCCAACTCGCTCGGTATGTAATATGTTGTGGAGATGTTATGAGATGTCTTTCTTTGCTGTCTAAAAACAGTATGTAATATGTTGTGGAGATGTTATGAGATGTCTTTCTTTGCTGTCTATAAACAGCGCGCCAAAAAAGTAGCCCGGGTTCGTTCGACAGACAAGATTGACACACTGTCTTCCAGACAAAACTGCCCAGCTTTCTCTTTGCAACTGTCTTTTGTGTCAATGACTGTTGCTTCTGGAATGTGTTGTTGTTGTGGTTAGCCCAGGCACTGCAGGGGACTGTGTACAAGGAAAAAGTACTGTGGGTGGGGGGAGGGGTTAGTGACAATTTGTGAGTACTGAATCATTGATGATTTTGTATTTTTACACTCGCTGGTGGTGGCTGTCGTCAGTGGTGGATCTGCTTAAAACCTTCAAACGAAGCAAGGCATGACACCCCTACAACATAGGACAGCCCGTGGGACCTTCTATGAAATCACACAGCCGAACGAGATGCAGTGAAAAATATGAGTTGCTATTTGTTTAATAAGGCAAACAAAAACATTAGTAAAGAAATATGGATACCAGTATCTGGTAAGTGCCTGAGAACAATTTATACGAATAAAGTGGTATAAACACACCTGTAACAAGTGCAGTGTCTAGCACACATGTAACAAGTGCAGTGTCTAGCATACCTGTAACAAGTGCAGTGTCTAGCACACCTGTAACAAGTGCAGTGTCTAGCATACCTGTAACAAGTGCAGTGTCTAGCACACCTGTAACAAGTGCAGTGTCTAGCATACCTGTAACAAGTGCAGTGTCTAACACACCTGTAACAAGTGCAGTGTCTAACACACCTGTAACAAGTGCAGTGTCTAGCACACCTGTAACAAGTGCAGTGTCTAACACACCTGTAACAAGTGCAGTGTCTAACACACCTGTAACAAGTGCAGTGTCTAACACACCTGTAACAAGTGCAGTGTCTAGCATACCTGTAACAAGTGCAGTGTCGAGCACAACTGTAACAAGTGCAGTGTCTAGCATACCTGTAACAAGTGCAGTGTCTAGCACACCTGTAACAAGTGCAGTGTCGAGCACAACTGTAACAAGTGCAGTGTCTAGCACACCTGTAACAAGTGCAGTGTCTAGCACACCTGTAACAAGTGCAGTGTCTAGCACACCTGTAACAAGTGCAGTGTCGAGCACAACTGTAACAAGTGCAGTGTCTAGCACACCTGTAACAAGTGCAGTGTCTAGCATACCTGTAACAAGTGCAGTGTCTAGCACACCTGTAACAAGTGCAGTGTCTAGCATACCTGTAACAAGTGCAGTATCTCCTGTAACAAGTGCAGTGTCTAACACACCTGTAACAAGTGCAGTGTCGAGCACAACTGTAACAAGTGCAGTGTCTAGCACACCTGTAACAAGTGCAGTGTCTAGCACACCTGTAACAAGTGCAGTGTCTAACACACCTGTAACAAGTGCAGTGTCGAGCACAACTGTAACAAGTGCAGTGTCGAGCACAACTGTAACAAGTGCAGTGTCTAGCACACCTGTAACAAGTGCAGTGTCTAGCACACCTGTAACAAGTGCAGTGTCGAGCACAACTGTAACAAGTGCAGTGTCTAGCACACCTGTAACAAGTGCAGTGTCTAGCATACCTGTAACAAGTGCAGTGTCGAGCACAACTGTAACAAGTGCAGTGTCTGGCATACCTGTAACAAGTGCAGTGTCTGGCACACCTGTAACAAGTGCAGTGTCTAGCATAGCTGTAACAAGTGCAGTGTCTAACACACCTGTAACAAGTGCAGTGTCTAACACACCTGTAACAAGTGCAGTGTCTAACACACCTGTAACAAGTGCAGTGTCTAACACACCTGTAACAAGTGCAGTGTCTAACACACCTGTAACAAGTGCAGTGTCTAACACACCTGCACTGAATGTTATTTACTGTATTACAAATGCCATGATCAGGCTTGCAGCACACCTGTAACAGGTACAGTCTCTAGCACACCTACATCAGTTGTCATTTGTTTTACATCCCACACCTGTAACAGGTACAGTCTCTAGCATACCTACATCAGTTGTCATTTGTTTTACATCTCACACCTGTAACAGGTACAGTTTCTAGCATACCTACATCAGTTGTCATTTGTTTTACATCTCACACCTGTAACAGGTACAGTCTCTAGCATACCTACATCAGTTGTCATTTGTTTTACATCTCACACCTGTAACAGGTACAGTTTCTAGCATACCTACATCAGTTGTCATTTGTTTTACATCTCACACATGTAACAGGTACAGTCTCTAGCATACATACATCAGTTGTCATTTGTTTTACATCTCACACCTGTAACAGGTACAGTCTCTAGCATACCTACATTAGTTGTCATTTGTTTTACATCTCACACATGTAACAGGTACAGTCTCTAGCATACATACATCAGTTGTCATTTGTTTTACATCTCACATATGTACCAGGTACAGTCTCTAGCATACATACATCAGTTGTCATTTGTTTTACATCTCACATCTGTAACAGGTACAGTCTCTAGCATACATACATCAGTTGTCATTTGTTTTACATCTCACACCTGTAACAGGTACAGTCTCTAGCATACCTACGTGACTGGTCATTTGTTTTACATCTCACACATGTAACAGGTACAGTCTCTAGCATACCTACGTGACTTGTCATTTGTTTTACATCTCACACATGTAACAGGTACAGTCTCTAGCATACATACATCAGTTGTCATTTGTTTTACATCTCACACATGTAACAGGTACAGTCTCTAGCATACATACATCAGTTGTCATTTGTTTTACATCTCACACATGTAATAGGTGCCACAAAAGCTGACTAAACAGGGGCATTTCCTACAAAGAGTGCACCTGTCTGACAGGGGAGCAACCAACAGACTCATAAAAATAAGCCAGATCTGTAAAACAGGTGTGCATGCAAAACTCAAGTTCTGGAACAAGACCAAAGTCCAAAAATGGACAAACAACCAGAACTTCTTGCCAGGGTTTACTGCCGGTGAAGAAGACAAAGGAGATGAATGTTCACACATGACAACAGCCTACATTCATACATGGGTTGAACAAACTCCAAGTTTGGGGGTAAGTTTAAAAAATAAGTATCTCTAACATGATTTTTCTCAGCACCGTAATACCAAGATAAAAAAAGGAAATTGTTCCATCCTTTTTGTCAGTCAAGATCCAAATAAATACATCAAAACTTGCAAATATGCCTGAAAATATGGCAAATGTTGCCAGAGTAGAAAATTTCTTCAAACAGTTGAAAAAAATTCCATAAAACATGCCGTCTGTTCGTACATTAATACTTTATTGAAATAGCCATATTTTGTATAGATAAATGGAAGCTGAACAGATTTTATAACCCAACCAAACTGGCACTAATGAGCAAAGTCCAGTTTTTCAGGCATTGTAAGTCATGAGCTTTACCGTGTTTGTTCTACTTCTCAATCTGTAATCTCATTAAAATACTGAAAATCTAATATCAACATGAGCAAATAAAATTGGCTTTTAATCTAATTCATGGACAATTTTAACACAGAATGAGCAAAAATCTGGACAGTCAACAAAAGATATCAAGTGCATTCTGGGTAACCGAAAATTATTCCTCGTGGAAGAAATATTCCCACTAGAGGTGGTCAGCTATTCTATTCTCAGAACAAAATATTGAAAATTTTCTAAAATTACATAATGAAAGTACAAAACAATTGATAATTTAGGTTGTATTGCACGAGTTAACTGATTGATATAAATGTGCATGACAAATAATTATATATGACCTGGATACAGTACCCATAACATTGAATCCTGGTGTTGCCTGTGGAATAAAGGGTTGCTGTAGTTGCCAACAGTAATTTCTAGGCTATCTGCCGCACATGAGGGATCTGTGAACAGGTACTGCTTGGTGTTCGTAGGATGACATCCAGGTGACACCCAGGTGATCCATGTGACATCAAGGTGGCATCCAGGTGATCCAGGTGACATCCAGGTGACATCCAGGTGATCCATGTGACATCCAGGTGATCCAGGTGACATCCAGGTGATCAAGGTGATCCAGGTGACATCCAGGTGATCCAGGTGACATCCAGGTGATCCAGGTGACATCCAGGTGATATCCAGGTGATCCAGGTGACATCCAGGTGATCCAGGTGACATCCAGGTGATGACATTCCACACCAAAATAAACTGTGCTAGGATGTCTATTCTGCTGGTCTCCCCATGGGGTGTTCTCCTTCTCTCCTGTTGTCTAGTGTAACATCAAGTCCTTCTCTCCTGTTATCTAATTTAACATCTAGTATCTTCTTCTTCTTTCGTTCGCCTGAAATAAGTTGTCTATATCAGCAGTTTTGTCTCTTGTATAAATTTCACTGTCGTTGTTAGTTCATTCAGTGGTCCATAGAGTTTACGTTCCACTGTTGTTCTTTCTGGCCAAAAGGTTTGCCTTAATGTGTCAAATTCGGTGCAGTCCGGGAGTACATGCTCTGCTGTCTGGGGCACATTTCCACAGGTGCACATGGCTGATACACCTATCTTGAATTTTGTGTACATGTGGTTACGTAATCGGTTGTGCCCCGTTCTGAGGCGGAGGATAATGACTTGTTCTGGTCTGTCCATAATAAAATAGTCGTCTTGTGCTGGGGCTGGTAGTTTCCTGATCGATTTAATGATTCTTTTCTTTTGGTGGTTTGTGACTGCTGCATCCGGCTGCTCTTTTGTCGCACTTTCCCCTGCCAGTTGATCAGCTTTCTCATTTCCAGGCACTCCACAATGAGACGGTATCCACTGAATTACGACTCTTCGCTGAACGCTGAGTTGTGTCAGCAGTGATTGCAATTCTGGTAGTTTCCTAGACTGGAGTGTTTCAAGTACTGATTTAGCATCTGTCAGCATTACCACATACTGTGAGCCAAGGTTGGTATTTAGCAGTTATCTTGATAGCCTGGGTTTCTGCATCGTAGTTATGGCAGTACTTCCCGGTTGGTACGTTGGACTTATCCCAAGTACCATCTGGGAATTCGATGTACACTCCAGCGCCACCATTTCTAACTGCACTTTCTGCGGACCCATCTGTATAGACTCTGACCCATTGTTCTTGTGACATCTAGTATCTACTTTATTGCCATTTAAGGATACAAAATCAAACTCTGTGTCAATCCTGACAGCATGAACAGCTGACAGCAACCAACAGCAGCAACAGATCCACAACAGCAGCAACAGATCCACAACAGCAGCAACAGATCCACATCAGCAGCAACAGATCCACAACAGCAGCAACAGATCCACATCAGCAGCAACAGATTCACATCATGTCAGCAAATAACAAATAACAATTTAATGACAAAATCCAGCAGACACAAAATAACAATAGTTCAGCTGACCATCTAGTTCCATGCTAGCAAACATACTGGAAGACACATGTGACTCCACAAAAATACACAACCCCAAAAACAATTACATGACAAAGGAAATAGACAAACAAAACCTGGGCACTTTTATACATCTTGAGTGATCCCCCTAATAAACCTAAGTACCCTATTATTTCAGATACAGTAAAACTGGTAATGTAAATTCCAAGGGACAAGAAAATCAAGACTGTTAAAAAAAACATTTGTGCTAATGGGGAAGTAATAAATAATAGGTCCATGTTGGGAGTGATATTTTGTTCATGTTAACCAAGTGGTCTCAAGCAATTTTGTGTTAGCAAGGTTTTACTTTACATTGTTATAATTATTTACGTAACTCCGTAGCTACAGCGACATTCCTCCCTTTACCCCAGAGTGTTAACTCTGGTACCTCTTACCTAGAGGCTGGGTGAACCCGGGGAACTGCTGGGTTTCGAACACTGACCGTGGGCTGCAGAGAGTCGCAGTTAGATTTGAAAGTGAGTCTCCTATTGACAGCGCTACCACGGCCCCTGATATATATATACACTGTTTAACTGTCATCACTTGCGAAATGAGATGCCTGAGAAAAGCTGCAAACCGAACCATCTGAGATCAAGTAAATGATGACACTATCAACATCTTAGACTTCACTCGTCAAGAAACAGCAGATCAGGTGGTTTGGCCATCTCGTTAGAATGCAGTAACATCAAATATAATAACAGGCACTACATCTCAGAAACTCAATGACATGAGTAAGAGGTTGGCCACGAAAAATATGGATGGACAACTTTAAAGACACTTTATGCCTTCACGCCATGACATCAGCCAGTGCCAGCTGACATGCACTGGATGGCAAATTATTCTTTCCATGACACTTAATGGCAGAACTGGTTTATGATGACAATTTAATTTTATGGAAATGGCATATTATGCATAATATTTGCAAACAAAGTTGCAGAAATGGACAACAAAACATCAGCAACTCAACAAACTGGCAACTCACACATTTCATCACTGATCAAACAACAGGCTTCCAAACTAAGAAGGTCACCAATTTTTAGACTATATTCAACTGGGGTCATGAACTATAGATTAAATACTCGACTAAGTAGGTCACCAAGTGCAGGTTAAATACTTAACTAAGAATGTTGCCGATTACAGACCAAATGTTCAACTAAGTGGGTCATCAAAAATATTGTCAGAATCGACAGCAGCTGATCTGGTCACCTGTTTCTTAGTCTCACTCTTTGATTTGATACTGGCAGCCGAGGTGCCGGCAAATATGTCGTCTGGGGACAACAAACAAGATTTTATCAGTGACATTTCTACCATTTCTACTGTTTGTCTGTCAGAGGTGTAAGTACGTATGTCAGAGGTGTAAGTATGTGTATTTATACGTGTGATGTGCAAGTTGGAGTATGTATGTGCGTGAGAGGTGCAAATATGGGTATGTCTGTGCATGAGAGGTGCATGTAGGTGTATACATGTGTGTGAGAGGTGCAAATATGGGTATGTCTGTGCATGAGAGGTGCAAGTATGTGTATACATGTGTGTGAAAGGTGCAAGTATGTGTGTGAGAGTCACAAGGCTGTATGTGTACATGTGTGTAAGAGGTGCAAGTATGTGTGTGAGAGTCACAAGGCTGTGTGTGTACATGTGTGTAAGAGGTGCAAGTATGTGTGTGAGAGTCGCAAGTCTGTATGTGTACATGTGTGTGAGAGGTGCAAGTATGTATGCATATATCTGTGTGAGAGGTGCAAGTCTGTATGTGTGTGAGAGGTACAGTATCTGTGTGTGTGTGTGTGTAAGGTGCAAGTATGTGTGTGAGAGTTGCAAGTCTGTATGTGTACATGTGTGTGAGAGGTGCAAGTATGTATGCATGTGAGAGGTGCAAGTCTGTATGTGTACATTCGTGTGAGAGGTGCAAGTATGTGTGTGTATGTGTGTGAAAGGTGAAAGTATGTGTGTGAGAGGTGCAAGTCTGTATGTGTATGTGTGCGAGAGGTGCAAGTCTGTATGTGTACATGTGTGTGAAAGGTGCAAGTCTGTATGTGTATGTGTGTGAGAGGTGCAAGTATATGTGTGAGAGGTACAAGTCTGTATGTGTACATGTGTCAAAGGTGCAAGTCTGTATGTGTATATGTGTGTGAGAGGTGCAAGTCTGTATGTGTACATGTGTCAAAGGTGCTAGTCTGTATGTGTACATGTGTCAAAGGTGCAAGTCTGTATGTGTACATGTGTGAGAGGTACAAGTCTGTATGTGTACATGTGTCAAAGGTGCTAGCCTGTATGTGTATATGTGTGTGAGAGGTGCAAGTCTGTATGTGTACATGTGCATAAGAGGTGCAAGTAGGGGTATGTGTGAGAGATGCAAGTATTTGTAATATATCACTCATTTTTCAACTTGATTCTGCTACTAAAAACTTAAAACATCAACATGATATGTGGTCTGTAGTGTGTGCATATGTGAGATGTGTGCAAAAGCATATATGTATGTGTGTGCAATGTGTGGATGTCTGGTGTACATGTATGTGATGCATGTTTTTGTGTGAATGCAAGGTATGTGAATGTGTGACTGTGAGGTGTGTGTATGTATACATGCAAATATGTCAACTTACCTGATCCAAATATCACTATCATATATGGCAGTAGTGATACACGTATCTGTGTGTGGGACCAGCAGTACAAGTACATAACCAGCAGTACCAGTACCTGACCAGCAGTGCCAGTACCTGACCAACAGTACCAGTACCTGACCAGCAGTACCAATACCTGACCAGCAGTGCCAGTACCTGACCAACAGTGCCAGTACCTGTACCTGACCAGCAGTGCCAGTACCTGACCAGCAGTACCTGTACCTGACCAACAGCCACACTACCTGACCAACAGTTCCAGTATCTGATCAATAGTGAGAATACCTGACCAACAGTACCCATTCCTGACCAACAGTACCAGTACCTGAACAACAGTACCAGCACCTGACCAACAGTACCAGTACCTGACCAGCAGTACCAGCACCTGACCAACAGTACCAGTACCTGACCAACAGTGCCAGTACCGGACCAACAGTGGCAGTACCTGACCAACAGTACCAGTACCAGACCAACAGTACCAGTACCTGACCAACAGTGCCAGTACTGGACCAACAGTGCTGGTGCCTGACCAACAGTACCAGTACCGGACCAACAGTACCAGTACCTGACCAACAGTACCAGTACCTGACCAACAGTACTAGTACCTGACCCACAGTACCAGTAGCTGATAAACAGTGCCAGACGTTTCATCACACTGAAATGCAATGATGTGATCAACTGTATGATGCTTCCTTGAACTATAGTATCATGTGATCATGATAAACTCACCGACATCGTCTTTGAGGACAGATTTCTTCTCTGTTGTTTTCTTGACGACAACTTTCTGTTTGGTTTCCCTGGAGCTGGCCGCGGGGATATCACTAAATATGTCCGTTGTGTCACTGAACAACTTGGCGTCCTTGGTCACTGCCCTCCTGGACCTGGTGCTCTTGGAGTCCTGCGGTCAGACAACAATCAGTTGCAGACAACAGATTCTAATTACACACAATCACTATAGTAATCAACATAGTACAAGTCTCCAGTGATACTTTTGACTCACGTGTATTCCCTATACTCTAAACAATCAAGACTCACACATATTACTGATATTCTAAACAATCCAGACTCATGTATTTTTCGCATTAAAACACTCCAGACTAGCATACAGTCCCCTACTCTAAACACTCTAGACTCACACATATCTCCATACTCTAAACACTCTAGACTCACACATATCTCCATACTCTAAACACTCTAGACTCACATGTATTCCCCCATATTCTGAATAACTCTAGACTGACAGGTTTTCCATACTCTAAACACTCTAGACTCAATGTATTCTCCATACTCTAAACTCACATGCTTTGTCCATTTTCTAAACACTCTAGACTCACATGTGTTCTCCGTACTTTGAACACGGTAAGACTCACATGTGTTCTCCGTACTTTGAACACGGTAAGACTCACATGTGTTCCCCATACTCTAAACACTCTAGACTCACATGTGTTCCCCGTACTCTAAACACTCTAGACTCACATGTGTTCCCCATACTCTAAACTCACATTATTTACCTATACTCTAAACACTCTAGACTCACACATATCTCCATACTCTAAACACTCTAGACTCACACATATCTCCATACTCTAAAAACTCTAGACTCACACATATCTCCATACTCTAAACACTCTAGACTCACACATATCCCCATACTCTAAACTCACATTATTTACCTATACTCTAAACACTCTAGACTCACATGAGTTCCCCATAATCTAAACTCACATTATTTACCTATACTCTAAACACTCTAGACTCACATGTGTTCCCCATACTCTAAACTCACATTATTTACCTATACTCTAAACACTCTAGACTAAAATAATGTTCCCATACTCTAAACACTCTAGACTAAAATAATGTTCCCATACTCTAAACTCACAGGCAATGCCTATACTCACTTGTATTTTTGTGCTGACCAAAGAGGTCCCGTTTCTGGCTGCAGTGCTAAGTGCAGCAGACTTTTCACTTGTACCTGCTCATCAAAGAATGAAACAATTCACCATATAATTTATTACAAGACCTCTTTCAAAGACAGACATTTAGAAAAATAAGGAAAGAATTACTATTAATTCAAGTCTTCCTCTTCTTCTTCTTATATCATGGAAAGATATCAAACTGAATGAAAAGTAGATCAGAATGACAACTGGATAGTGTACTTTGATATACAAACAACAAGTTTTGTGACCAGGCACACAGAAGATCAACAGATTAATGCTCTCTCTCTCTCTCTCTCTCTCTCTCTCTCTCTCTCTCTCTCTCTCGTCTCTCTATCTCTCTCTCTCTCTCTCTCTCTCTCTCTCTATCTCTCTCTCTCTCTCTCTCTCTCTCTCTCTCTCTCTCTCTCTCTCTCTCTCAGACTCATGCACCTGCACATCTGCACACACACATATATTCCTCACCAGTCTGCTTGTTTAGGCTAGAGTCCTTAAAAATGTCATCATCAACATCTGGAGATGGAGTGGCCAGTTTGGATGTTGCTGTCACGTCTGCCTCAGATGAGTCTGGGCCACCAGCAGATGCAGACTTGATAGTCTCGACCGCATCTGATCCAGGTTTAGACGAAGAGCCACCAGCATTAGAACTCTTTACAGAAGAAGATGCAAACAGATCATCATCAACATGGAGGTTGCTGGATGTTGACTTTGGTTTCTGTCCCGCAGCGACTGGTGGTGGTGTCTGCAGGTGATCGCTGTCCAAGGCTGCAGATAAATTTTCAGGTTGAGATTTTCCTGGAGATGTAGACAACAAGTCATCCTCTTTGTTTGTTTTGCTGGGCTTTTTAATTGTGAACTGTAGTTCTGAGGTCTTCGGTGGGAGTGAGCTCTTTGAAGTGTAAGAGGTCTTTGATGTGTATGTCTTTGATGTGACAGAGGTTTTTGATGTGACAGAGGTCTTTGATGTGACAGAGGTCTTTGATGTAACTGTTGAAGCACTGGCTGCAGACACTGAGGAATCAGAGAACAAATCACTGGCAGCATCACTGGATGACTTTGTACTCTTGCCAGCAAACAACTCTTTTCCAAACAAGTCACTTCCTGTCACAGACTGCTCATCTCCACCAACTTGCATCTTTCCTGCAGAGAGTGACCGGCCATCCAACAAGTCATCATTACCAAACAGATCTGATTTTGTCAGGGGCTTCTCTGATTTATCTGCTCCTGAATCGTTGTTCTGTTCATCTGTAGTATTTCTGGGCGAGTTAACAGCGTCAGGAGGAGGTAAGTCTTGAAAACCGTCTGGAACTTCAGGGATAGAAGGAGTTGTGGGTGTTGTTGGGGTGGTGTCCTCGAAACTAATGCCTGTGTGTGTAGCTGCCAGCATGCGAGCTTTACGACTTGGTGGTCGTCTTCTGTTCAGCTTGGGTCTGTCCTGCAAGATAGATTCACCAATCACATATGACAGCTCTCTTTATGTGTGGTTTAATGTTTTTTTTATACATACAACAAAACATAATACAACAGAAATAAGACTCAACCAATAAAAACATAAAACAAGAGAAATAATACTAAACCAACAAAACATAACACAAGAGAAATAAGACTCAACCAACAGAATAATAATATAAGAGAAATAAGACTTAATCAACAAAACATAACACAAGAGAAATAAGACTCAACCAACAGAATAATAATATAAGAGAAATAAGACTTAATCAACAAAACATAACACAAGAGAAAAAAGACTCAACCAACAGAATAATAATATAAGAGAAATAAGACTTAATCAACAAAACATAACACAAGAGAAATAAGACTCAACCAACAGAATAATAATATAAGAGAAATAAGACTTAATCAACAAAACATAACACAAGAGAAATAAGACTCAACCAATAAAAACATAAACTGAGAATTTTCTTCTGTGTTCACCCTTACAAGAACTTAAGTTATGCGTGATGTGGTTTACAGCTTGGCTGTGATATCTGTGCCCTATGATCCAACACACCAAGTTTCAGAAAACTCTTAATTATTAACCTTTTACAAGATGCTTATTCATGAGCAGTCGGCCTATTGTTTTATCCCCCCCCCCCCCCCCCCCCTCCCTTCCAACTCCAACAAAATTGGACCCCAGAACCCACACAAATAATAAACTGGGTTATGTCTAATAGAAACAAACATTAAATAAATGTCTCAAATACACAGACAGAAAAAAAAAATGCACACTAAGACAAAATATGTGTGTGAATCAGACAGAAATAAAATTATATCATAATGTACACACAGGATGGTACACATACAACCATCGCAGCCCAGCGGTTGGCAGGTTGTGTTTGTCAACCAGCCGGTTGGTCACATGTTTCAATGTGTCTGATGATTCACTGACATCAACATTGGCCAGGGGTTGCACAAATAAACACATAAAGAACAGAACACAACAATTTCTGACAATCAAACTAAACAAACAGCTGACTGTTTTTGTGAATCAGTTGTTTATCATTGTACACTTCAACATTAAAAACAAAGCAAATGAGATATCTGAAAGAAAAGGCTTCAAACAAAACCAGAAGAGACTGTGTGGTCAATGAAGATAATGGAAAAACTATAGGAAAGACTGTGTGGTCAATGAAGATCTTGGAAAAACTGTAGGAAAGACTGTGTGGTCAATGAAGATAATGGGAAAACTATAGGAAAGACTGTGTGGTCAATGAAGATCTTGGAAAAACTGTAGGAAAGACTGTGTGGTCAATGAAGATCTTGGAAGAACTGTAGGAAAGACTGTGTGGTCAATGAAGATCTTGGACAAACTGTAGGAAAGACTGTGTGGTCAATGAAGATATTGGAAAAACTGTAGGAAAGACTGTGTGGTCAATGAAGATATTGGACAAACTGTAGGAAAGACTGTGTGGTCAATGAAGATTTTGGAAAAACTGTAGGAAAGACTGTGTGGTCAATGAAGATATTGGACAAACTGTAGGAAAGACTGTGTGGTCAATGAAGATATTGGAAAAACTGTAGGAAAGACTGTGTGGTCAATGAAGATATTGGAAAAACTGTAGGAACTCTTCTTCTTCTACTTAGTGTTCACCGGCAACACATGCCAGCGGGAAGTTCTGGTTGTTTGTCCACTGTTGGACTTTGTTCTTATTCCTAAACTTAAGTTGAGCAGGCATATCCATTTTACAGACCTGTTTATTTCATATTTGTGTGGGTACAGGAGACACAGGCAGGTCTCTGTGGGCACATGGAATACATGCAGGTCTGTGTGGGTACATGGAATACATGCAGGTTGGTGTGGGTACAGGTGACAAAGGCAGGTCTGTCTGGGTACAAGTGGTACAGGCAGGTCGGTGTGGGTACAGGTGATATAGGCAGGTCTGTGTGGGTACAGGTGACAAAGGCAGGTCTGTGTGGGTACAGGTGACATAGGCAGGTCTGTGTGGGTACACTGAAAAAGGCAGGTCTGTGTGGGTACACTGACAAAGGCAGGTCTGTGTGGGTACAAGTGGTATAGGAAGGTCTGTGTGGGTACACTGACAAAGGCAGGTCTGTGTGGGTACAGGTGACAAAGGCAGATCTGTGTGGGTACAGGTGACAAAGGCAGGTCTGTGTGGGTACAAGTGGTTCAGGCAGTTCTGTGTGGGTACACTGACATAGGCAGGTCTGTGTGGGAATATGTGGAACACACAGGTCTGTGTACACACCAGGGATACACCCAGGTTTGTGTTGATACATGTAATACATGCAGGTTTGTGTGGATATATGTAATACACCCAGGTTTGTGTGGATATATGTAATACATGCAGGTTTGTGTGGATATATGTAATATGTGCAGGTTTGTGTGGATATATGTAATACATGCAGGTTTGTGTGGATACATGGAATACATGCAGGTTTGTGTGGATATATGTAATACATGCAGGTTTGTGTGGATATATGTAATACATGCAGGTTTGTGTGGATACACAGAATACATGCAGGTTTGTGTGGATATATGTAATACATGCAGGTTTGTGTGGATATATGTAATACATGCAGGTTTGTGTGGATATATGTAATACATGCAGGTTTGTGTGGATATATGTAATACATGCAGGTTTGTGTGGATATATGTAATACGTGCAGGTTTGTGTGGATATATGTAATACATGCAGGTTTGTGTGGATATATGTAATACATGCAGGTTTGTGTGGATATATGTAATACATGCAGGTTTGTGTGGATATATGTAATACATGCAGGTTTGTGTGGATATATGTAATACATGCAGGTTTGTGTGGATATATGTAATACATGCAGGTTTGTGTGGATACACAGAATATATGCAGGTTTGTGTGGATATATGTAATACATGCAGGTTTGTGTGGATACACAGAATACATGCAGGTTTATGTGGATATATGTAATACATGCAGGTTTGTGTGGATACACAGAATACATGCAGGTTTGTGTGGATATATGTAATACATGCAGGTTTGTGTGGATATATGTAATACATGCAGGTTTGTGTGGATATATGTAATACATGCAGGTTTGTGTGGATATATGTAATACATGCAGGTTTGTGTGGATATATGTAATACATGCAGGTTTGTGTGGATACATGGAATACATGCAGGTTTGTGTGGATATATGTAATACATGCAGGTTTGTGTGAATATATGTAATACATGCAGGTTTGTGTGGATATATGTAATACATGCAGGTTTGTGTGGATATATGAAATACATGCAGGTTTGTGTGGATATATGTAATACACCCAGGTTTGTGTGGATACATGGAATACATGCAGGTTTGTGTGGATATATGTAATACATGCAGGTTTGTGTGGATATATGTAATACATGCAGGTTTGTGTGGATATATGTAATACACCCAGGTTTGTGTGGATATATGTAATACATGCAGGTTTGTGTGGATATATGTAATACATGCAGGTTTGTGTGGATACACTGAATACATGCAGGTTTGTGTGGATATATGTAATACATGCAGGTCTGTGTGGATATATGTAATACATGCAGGTTTGTGTGGATATATGTAATACATGCAGGTTTGTGTGGATACACTGAATACATGCAGGTTTGTGTGGATATATGTAATACATGCAGGTTTGTGTGGATATATGTAATACATGCAGGTTTGTGTGGATATATGTAATACATGCAGGTTTGTGTGGATATATGTAATACATGCAGGTTTGTGTGGATATATGTAATGCATGCAGGTTTGTGTGGATATATGTAATACATGCAGGTTTGTGTGGATATATGTAATACACGCAGGTTTGTGTGGATATATGTAATACATGCAGGTTTGTGTGGATACACAGAATACATGCAGGTTTGTGTGGATATATGTAATACATGCAGGTTTGTGTGGATATATGTAATACATGCAGGTTTGTGTGGATATATGTAATACATGCAGGTTTGTGTGGATATATGTAATACATGCAGGTCTGTGTGGATATATGTAATACATGCAGGTTTGTGTGGATATATGTAATACATGCAGGTTTGTGTGGATATATGTAATACATGCAGGTTTGTGTGGATATATGTAATACATGCAGGTTTGTGTGGATACACAGAATACGTGCAGGTTTGTGTGGATATATATAATACATGCAGGTTTGTGTGGATATATGTAATACATGCAGGTTTGTGTGGATATATGTAATACATGCAGGTTTGTGTGGATATATGTAATACATGCAGGTTTGTGTGGATATATGTAATACAGCAGGTTTGTGTGGATATATGTAATACATGCAGGTTTGTGTGGATACACAGAATACATGCAGGTTTGTGTGGATGTATGTAATACATGCAGGTTTGTGTGGATACATGGAATACATGCAGGTTTGTGTGGATATATGTAATACATGCAGGTTTGTGTGGATATATGTAATACATGCAGGTTTGTGTGGATATATGTAATACACCCAGGTTTGTGTGGATATATGTAATACATGCAGGTTTGTGTGGATACATGGAATACATGCAGGTTTGTGTGGATACATGTAATACATGCAGGTTTGTGTGGATATATGTAATACATGCAGGTTTGTGTGGATATATGTAATACATGCAGGTTTGTGTGGATACACAGAATACATGCAGGTTTGTGTGGATATATGTAATACATGCAGGTTTGTGTGGATACATGTAATACATGCAGGTTTGTGTGGATACATGGAATACATGCAGGTTTGTGTGGATACACAGAATACATGCAGGTTTGTGTGGATATATGTAATACACCCAGGTTTGTGTGGATATATGTAATACACCCAGTTTTGTGTGGATATATGTAATACATGCAGGTTTGTGTGGATATATGTTTTACATGCAGGTTTGTGTGGATATATGTAATACATGCAGGTTTGTGTGGATATATGTAATACATGCAGGTTTGTGTGGATATATGTAATACATGCAGGTTTGTGTGGATACATGGATTACATGCAGGTTTGTGTGGATATATGTAATACAAGCAGGTTTGTGTGGATTTATGTAATACATGCAGGTTTGAATGGATACAAGTAATACATGCAGGTTTGTGTGGCTACAGGCAGCTGTGTGAGGGTACAGGTGTACAAGTATGTTGCCTTACCTTGATGGCACTTGTCAGCGGATCCACTTCCACTGGCTGATCAAAATCCACAGAGTCGCCTCTCTCCAGGGATTTGGGGTGAGTTCCGTCCGGGGACAACAGTGTGGGGCTGGCTGTTGGCGATTTCTGGGAAAGATGACACACACACACAAACATGGCCAGGAAGCTGGGATAACAGATGATAGTTTTATCAAAAGCAATCCTGTTACTCAAGAGGAGTCATGATGGCACAGTGGCTGCATTCTTAGCTGCCAACCTGATAGTCATCGGTTCAAACAACTATCAAGGCAGTTTTGTAAATTTAGTTCCCAAATTGACACAGCCAAAATATGGGTATTAGGAAATATTCTGGGATGAAGAGACAGCTGACAATAATCTGACCACCTCCTCCATTGATTGCCAGTTGGTGTATACACAAATGGGGCTGGCACACCAAGTGTCACAAAGGCTTAGAGATGTAGAAACTGGTCCCTTCTAGACTAGATCTGCCAGGTTGGCTGATCACACAAACATACCAGGTTGTCCAGGGCAAGAGCAACAGCTGGTCTGGTAGTTGTATGCCAGAGTCTCTTCTCAGTGAAAGAAGGGAATATTGAAATCAACCAGAAAGCCACCAAAACTGGCACAAGACGATTACCATTTTACAGAAAGACCAAAGCGAGTCCTTTTTCTACACCTTAGAACAGGGCACAATCGACTTCACGTTCACATGCACACAACATTTGTAATCAGTGATCAGCCCTGTGCACTTGTGGATTGGCACCTTAGACAACAGATCATGTCCTTCAAGACTGTCCCAAATACAACATATCAAGGCAAAACGCCAGCTGTGTTACTGGGCATCAGCAGAGAAGCAAAGAAGAGCAATACCCTAACCTGCTGTCCGTGTTATCAGAGAAAGGTAAGTAAATATGAATGGGACTAGTTACCTGTATCAACATTATAGCCTATTGGTCAGACCCACTCATTCTCCACCCTCCGATGCAGAAACCATCTCTGGGTCCCCATACAGAAACCATCTCTGGGTCACCATACAGAAACCATCTCTAGGTCACCATACAGAAACCATCTCTGGGTCACCATAAAGAAACCATCTCTGGGTCCCCATGCAGAAACCATCTCTGGGGCACCATACAGAAACCATCTCTGGGTCACCATACAGAAACCATCTCTGGGTCACCATGCAGAAACCATCTCTAGGTCACCATACAGAAACCATCTCTGGGTCACCATACAGAAACCATCTCTGGGTCACCATACAGAAACCATCTCTGGGTCACCATGCAGAAACCATCTCTGGGTCACCATACAGAAACCATCTCTGGGTCACCATACAGAAACCATCTCTGGGTCACCATACAGAAACCATCTCTGGGTCACCATACAGAAACCATCTCTGGGGCACCATGCAGAAACCATCTCTGGGTCACCATACAGAAACCATCTCTGGGTCACCATACAGAAACCATCTCTGGGTCACCATACAGAAACCATCTCTAGGTCACCATACAGAAACCATCTCTGGGTCACCATACAGAAACCATCTCTGGGTCACCATACAGAAACCATCTCTGGGTCACCATGCAGAAACCATCTCTGGGTCACCATACAGAAACCATCTCTGGGTCACCATGCAGAAACCATCTCTGGTCACCATACAGAAACCATCTCTGGGTCACCATACAGAAACCATCTCTGGGTCACCATACAGAAACCATCTCTGGGTCACCATACAGAAACCATCTCTGGGTCACCATGCAGAAACCATCTCTGGGTCACCATACAGAAACCATCTCTGGGTCACCATACAGAAACCATCTCTGGGTCACCATACAGAAACCATCTCTGGGTCACCATGCAGAAACCATCTCTGGGTCCCCATACAGAAACCATCTCTGGGTCACCATGCAGAAACCATCTCTGGGTCACCATACAGAAACCATCTCTGGGTCACCATACAGAAACCATCTCTGGGTCACCATACAGAAACCATCTCTGGGTCACCATACAGAAACCATCTCTGGGTCACCATGCAGAAACCATCTCTGGGTCCCCATACAGAAACCCTCTCTGGGTCCCTATGCAGAAACCATCTCTGGGTCACCAGTCTGTCAGCTCTTTCATTTCCTTTCACCCTGGTGGTTCTGTGTGACCACTACAATAGCTCCCCATAAAAATAGTTTGCCTAATATCAGATATCTTTTGTAAAAGCTTCTGTCCACAATTCTAGTACATTACCCGTCTGTGTTTTTCTGTTGGCAGCCTTTTATTTGTCCATCTTGGCCCCTGCCTTTTCCTTCAACCGGCAAGTCTTTTCTTTCTCTTCTCTTCTTGCTTCTACTTTTCTCTGCTGCATCAGATCTCAGCTCAGAAGCACGTTCCCCGTTGCTCCAGCGAGGATCAAATTTTGGCATGAGACTGTCTAGCTGCAAAATCCAACTAGTGATGAGCCAGTCGACAAAGTGCTAGGTGTGGGTCGGTGGAGAGTCTATGCTCCAGGGGGAGCTAAAAGGCACACACAAAAAGAAGACGACACCCTGATAGTGCAGTGAACCACACAAATCTCTTTGAGTGTTCAAGAAAACTGTCACAATCAGTTTAATGCAACTGTAACTTAAGTTGGGACTTGACAGGCCATCACGTTTTCTGTATGCTTCTTATTTTTATTTTTTCTTCCACCTTTTTTCCCCCCCTGCAAAACAATAAAAAGACAATACAGACACAAAACACAACAAGCAGACAATGCATGGACAACAGACAGACAATACACAGACAAGACACAAGATAAACCACTCACCGGCTCCTCTCTGGATGGACTTGGCTCTAAAAAGAGAGGAACAAAAACAATTCACACAAAAGTTCCAAATCAAATATATTAGTAATTTTAACAAAGAAGACACAAACAACAGACTGCACCATTTATTGTCTGACATATCTCTCTCTCTTCTCTCTCTCTCTCTCTTTTCTCTTGCTCTCTCGCTCTCTTTTCTCTTTCTCTCTCTTTTCTCTTTCTCTCTCTCTATCTCTCTCTGTCTCTGTCTCTCCTCTCTCTCTTCTCTCTCTCTCTCTTTTCTCTCTCTCTTCTCTCTCTCTCTTTTCTCTTTCTCTCCCTCTATCTCTCTCTCTCTCTCTCTTCTAGTGCTTTTAGAGAAATAAACAAAAAAAAGACAAACAAATGAATCCTTGGAAGTAAGAAAAAAACACATTCCACATTCAACAGTGACAGCTTGGGCTACCAGGGTAGTGGCACACTGACCACCAGGTCCATCTGTTTACCCTGCACTGGACATCAGTGATAGATAGCTGCAGCTTTGACAAACTGAAGCCAGCACCAATTGTTGTGGTAGAAAGTTCATAAAGTACTCTCTTGGCTAACAGACTTTTTCTCCCAAAACTTACCTCCATTATCTTTTTCTATTTAAAACAGAATAAACTAAAGTACTCACCTTTCTCACCCTCTTCTACTTTATCCTGAAGTACTTACCTCTCTCACTCTCTTCTACTGAGCCAGACTTTATCCTGAAGTACTTAAATCTCTCCTCCTCTTCTACTGAGACAAGACTTTATCCTGAAGTACTTACCTCTCTCCCCCTCTTCTAAAGAGACAAGACTTTATCCTGAAGTACTTACCTCTCTCACTCTCTTCTACTGAGCCAGACTTTATCCTGAAGTACTTAAATCTCTCCCCCTCTTCTACTGAGACAAGACTTTATCCTGAAGTACTTACCTCTCTCCCCCTCTTCTAAAGGGACAAGACTTTATCCTGAAGTACTTACCTCTCTCACTCTCTGCTAAAGAGACAAGACTTTATCCTGAAGTACCTCTCTCATTCTCTTCTGAAGAGACAAGACTTTATCCTTAAGTACTTACCTCTCTCACTCTTTTCTAAAGAGACAAGACTTTATCCTGAAGTACTTACCTCTCTCACTCTCTGCTAAAGAGACAAGACTTTATCCTGAAGTACCTCTCTCACTCTCTTCTAAAGAGACAAGACTTTATCCTGAAGTACTTACCTCTCTCACCCTCTTCTACTGAGACAAGACTTTATCCTGAAGTACCTCTCTCACTCTCTTCTAAAGAGACAAGACTTTATCCTGAAGTACTTACCTCTCTCACTCTCTTCTACCGAGACAGACTTTATAATGAAGTACTTACCTCTCTCACTCTCTTCTAAAGAGACAAGACTTTATCCTGAAGTACTTACCTCTCTCACTCTCTTCTAAAGAGACAAGACTTTATCCTGAAGTACTTACCTCTCTCACTCTCTTCTTTATGAGACAGATTTCACCTTGAAGTACTCAACTTATGCAAACATGTGAATATAAACACTAAAAAAAACATGTTTTACACAATATTCTTACTAACACTCTGCTATCAATGTCAAACATTGACACTGTCTTCAGAAGATAGAAGGAAACTAGTCATGATAGAAATGAAATGTTTATGTACTATGCTAGGGGTAACGAGGAAAGATCAACTTAGGAACGATGACATCAGGAGGAAAATTGGCACAGAACCAAAAATGAACTTTATAGGCAGACAACAAATGGTTTGGCCATGTAACAAGACTGGCAGCAGACAGGGGAACACAGAGAGCCATGTTATACAGATACAGCGGTAACAGACACAGAGGTCAACCATGTAGAATATGGACCGCAGAAATATCAGAGACACTGAAAAGTACTATTTAGGAATCAAACAGAAGGGCCAGTTCTAGAAATCTCCTCCTTCCCTGACGTCGCAAGACATTCCAGGAGTTGAGAAAAGAAAGAAGAGGAAGTACTCAACTTTCTATTCCTTTTTTTTAAACAGTTTTACATTGAATACCTTACATTTCTATTTCCTTTTTTTTTTTAATGAGACAGCCTAAACAGTTATAAAAAGTTACTTTTCCTAATACATACTTCTGAGGCAGAGCATATCTTTAAATACTTACCTTTCTGGTCTCTTTAAAAAAAAAAATTCAGATAGACTTGATCTTGGAGAACTTACCTTTCTCATCGTCTTCTATAGAAACAGACTTTTTCTTCAGCCCAGCAAACAGGTTGATCCCACCAAACATGGCAACAGCTCCGGCTGGCCTCCTTGGCTTGGTCGGTTCAACCGCTGGCAGCTCTTCCTGAACA